GAGGGAGAGCGACCGCCCTGTCCCAGGGCGGCCTGGGCCGGGGGGCTGGGACGCCGTCTCCGTCCCCCTCCTGCCTCTTGGCACTGCTGTCCTCGAGGGTCGGGAGTCAAGGACACAGTCTCGACAGCTGGGGACTGTTGGAGCCCAGGAGCCACCAGAACAGACCGCAGAGGCCCGCGCTTTCCGGGCCCTTCTCTCTTTTAAGCTACCTGACCCCCAAACCTGGCTCCTGGGGACGGTGGACCACGGGTACCCTGTGGCGTGCCAGGCGGGTTGAGAGTGGAGGAGCAACGGAAATCCACTGTAGGACCCCGGGCAAGGCCCTGGCCTCTTTGGGCCTCAGTTTCCCCTTCTGCCAAATGAGGGTCCCCTCCCCTTCAACTCTGCCACCACGTTTGGAGAGGGGAGGGCTCCCCCTGACCCCCAACACACACACTCCAGCGAGAGGAGGGCAAGACCGGGGCCGCCGCCCTGGAGCCCAGGTTGGCTTTTCTGTTCGGAAAGCAAGTCGGAGCTGCGCCGAGTCCCTCGGGTCCCCGCGGGGGTCCACGTTCCCCCAAATTCCGGGCGTGCGCGCCCTCTGGTGGCGCCTCTCCAGTCTTGCATTCCTTTACCAGAATTCCTGTAGGGCGTTTTGTAAAATAAACTTAAAAAAAATAATAATATTAATGAAAAGTATAAAATGTATAGAGTTTTCCAGAAACTGTGTTCTACTTCCAGAAAATGGTCACTTTAACTTTGTAAATATTTATCTAAAATGATATTTACAAAACCGTGATATATATTATTTGATTGTATATGCACAACTGTAAATACATTTGTACCTCTCTTGTATTCTAAAATAAAAAAACTACTTGGAACATTTATCATTTAGCATCTGAATGGGTGGACACTTTTGTCTGCACGGAAAAGAAATGTAGAAAGTGCTAGATGAGAGGATTGCGTGAGCTCACGGGTTCGAGGCCAGTCTGTGCAACATGGAGAGACATTGTCTCTACAGTAAATCAAAAAATTAGCCGGGCGTGGTGGCTCAGCCTGTAATCCCGTGCCTTGGAAGGCTGAGGTGAGTGGATTGCCTGAGCCCGCGGGTTCAAGACATGCCTGGGCAACTTGGTGAGACCTCATCTCTAAAATTAAAAAAAAAAAAAAAATTTAGCTGGGTGTGGTAGCGCGCGCCTGTAGTTCCAGCTACTTGGAAGGCTGAGGCGGAAGGATCGCTGGAGCCCAGCAGGTCGAGGCTGCGGTGCCCGGGAGCGACCACGGCACTCCAGTTTGGGCGCCAGAGTGAGACTCCAACCCAAAAAAAACACAAAAACTACTTGGAACATTTATCATTTAGCATCTGAGTGGGTGGACACTTTTGTCTGCATGGAAAAAGAAACGTAGAAAGTATTAGATGAGAGGATTGCCTGAGCTCACAGGTTCGAGACCAGCCTGTGCAACATGGAGAGACATTGTCTCTACAGTAAATCAAAAAAGTAGCCGGGCGTGGTGGTGCATGCTAGTGGTTCCAGTTACTTGGAAGGCTGAGCCGGAAGGATCGCCTGAGCCCAGCAGGTCGAAACTGTGGTGGCAGTGAGTGTGTCACTGCACTGCAACCTGGGTGACAGTGAGACTCCAACTCAAAAAAAAAAAAAAAAAGAATATATCTAGAAGCTGGAAATGGGGTGGTAAGAGATATCCCATTTACTGGTGTTGAAATTCACCATTGTGCCCTCTGTAAGGGAAAGTTCTCTCTGTCACAACTGGGGTGTCAGATGGGCCACAGTAAAACGCAACCAGAGAGCTTGAAAGAAAGAGTGTGGCAGATTTCTCCCAGTTTTCAGCTGACTCAAATATCAGTGCCTCATTTTATTAATTCCCCCAATATCTTTTTTTTTTTTTTTTTTTTTTTTGAGTCAAAGTCTTACTCTGTTGCCCAGGCTAGAGTGCAGTGGCACACTCATGGCTACCTCAGCCTTGACCTGCTGGACTCAGGCAATCCCTCCACCTCAGCCTCCCAAGTAGCTGGGATTACAAGTGTGTGACACCACACCCAACTAATTTTTTGATTTATTGTAGAGGTAAGATCTTGCCATGTCCAGGCTGGTCTCAAACCTCTGGGTTCAGGCAATCCTCTCACCTTCGCCTCTGAAAGTGCAGGGATTACAGGTGTGAGCCACTGCACCCAGCCCCCAAAATCTTTTTAAAAACTATTTTAAATTAGAGATGGAGTCTCACTATTTTGCCCAGGCTGATCTCAAACTGGGTCTCAAGCAATCCTCTTGCCTCGGCCTCCTAAAGTGCTGGGGTTACAGGTGTGAACCACCCCCTAAAATCTTTACCTTTTTTAAATTTCTTTTTTTTTTTTGAGTTGGGGTCTCACTCTGTCACCCAGACTGGAGTGCAGTGGCCGCTCCCGACCACCACAGCCTTGACCTTCTGGGCTCCAGCCATCCTTCCGCCTCAGCCTTCCGAGTAGCCGGAATTACAGGCATGTACTACCACACTTGGCTGATTTTTTGATTTATTGTAGAGATGAGGTCTCGCTGCCCAGGCGGGTCTCGAACCCGCGGGCTCAGGCAATCCACTCACCTCAGCCTCCCAAAGGCGCGGGATTACAGGCTGAGCCACCGAGCCCAGCTAAATTTCATTTTTATGTCCAACTTGAAGGGATTCTAGCAGCAGTGAGGGTAGGCCAAGATGGCTACCGAGTACCCTCCCAATTCCTAGAATTTCCAAGTGCTCTGGGCACCCGTTTTCAGAACCTCCTTGAAGAAG